GTAAAATTGTGCTAAATTACAATGCTGCTATGAAACTAACATATGTTCCTAGATTCACACTCAACTACATGCTCGTTCTTAAAGCCGTAACTTTTTAACCTTTTTTTGGAATCTAATACGAATATCAAGGAAGGAAGAAATTAATGGATTGGTTTTGGACTAAACTCTAGTGTTTTTTTGTTCTATATAAACCACAAATTTGCCATTGGTTCCTATGGTATTGCATACATTCAGTTGTGTGTTGTTTGCCAATACAAATAAATTATTTATGCTCTTGAAATTTTAATTCTTTGGAATTTATGTTGATAATAGTCGGTTATCCAAGTCATGCTAAGAGATTGTGTATGGCTTGAATACTAATCGCTATTTCACATTTAACTTGATTATTATGAAAACTACTTTATTCTAGCTTTAAAGTGCATCTCATGTTCTACCTTTAGCCAAACTATGATCATTTCTAGTCCTCGAATCGTCAGAGATTTTACTTTGTAGTACAAAACATTCAAGTCTAGGAAATACATGTTGTGTTCGAGTGAACCTTTAGTCTTACTACAACAAAAGCAAAGATACAATATATCTAGCACTAAATACCCTGTATTTTTGGCTCGATTGTTATCTGTGTATCTACATTTTCCTTATTTAGTTGAAGCAGTATCACTCTGTTCATGTAGGAGACATTGGATTTCAATATAACAACTTACTTTTAAGAGACTTTTTAAATCTATTTGCAAGTCCAAAATTATGTAACTTCTTAATTTGCAGCTAGGCAAGAAAGATTCAGAATTCAGAACTCTAACCAGTCCAGAATATAGAGGAGCCCAAGGAATTATAATGGGTGTGTTTTATCTTTTACCCTTTTCTTTTAGTTTTATATGTTGACATTCTAGTGGAGTCCACATTCTTTAATATAGTATTCATTTTTAGGGATTTGAATATATCTAATGCATCTCTTTTTAGTTTTTATTCATGTTTTAAATCAGATTTCAAATTTATTTAAGGATTTATAGTTGTGGATTCGATTGCAGGTTCACTTGAAGTTCTACCAGCTTGGATAGGGGTGTACGTGGGTTGGGTTGGACAGTTTTTGACATTTTTACAACCGAACCCAATTATGGCAGTTAGGAAAATCTCAACCCAACCTAATCCATTCAAAAGTACAACCCAACCCAACCCTTGCGGGTTTGGGCAGGTTGGGTTGGGTTGGCTGGTTACTAAAATTCATAAAGTTAGCAAATGAAATATGATAAATAATACTAAAAATATACTCAACAAAGTAAGCAACCACAATCCCATAGCAATTAGAAAACAATTTACTCACAGGCTCACAACAATCACAATCCCGTAGCAAGTAAGCAACCAAAGTCCCGTAGGCCTTAGCAAGCAGAAAAGGATTCGGGAACTCGAGAAGCAGAATTGGAAGTACGAATTAGGGACGAGAACGAGAGCATTTGGTCGGCATCAAGGGAACAACCAAGTCCGGTCGGCAACAAGTGAACAACCACAGTTTGGAGACACTCGACAATCACGATTTCCAGATTTGGAGATGCTAGACGAGTAGACAATAGGAGAACATGAAGTCGAGAACTGAATCAGTGAATTGAATTGGAGTATTGGTTCTATTGGACTTGACCTAGACAATAGTTGGATTAAGTTTGGGGTATAAATTGGACAAGTGATACATGTATTTAACTTTTGGCTTGTACATTAGACGAAAAAATATACATATTTTTGGGCTGTAAATTATAATTTTGTAACTATCACACACACACACACACACACACACATATATATATATATATATATATATTATAAAATTTATATATATTAGTGGCAGGTTGGCGGTTTGGGTTGGGTTGAGTTATGCTAACCTAATTTCAATCCTCCTAATTAGCGGTTGGCGGTTTAGCGGTTTGGCGGGTTGGCAGATTGGGTTTAATTGGGTTGAGTTGGGCGAGTTTCGCGGGTTGATGGTTTTTTGTACACCCGTAAGTTTGGATACGAAAGGCATTACAGTTTAGAATCACAAGGGCAAAGATGAAGGTACTTTTTATTTTCCATAGTTCTTTATGTGCTTCAATTCCAACAAATATGGATTCACTTATATTTCTCAAGATGGGGATGGTCAATGCGATAGAATGTGCGGGGTTCAATATTCATATTTGGACCAAATGACCTCTTATTCACATTTCTACCCCTCTGAATGGTCTCCCATGTTACAACTACAAGCTCCACAATACCGTGCATTAAGAACTGATTTTCTTTCATTTTGAGACTTGCCTGGTGTTTGGAGCATCTACAAAAACATGAAAGAATGATGGAAGAACTAAAAAAGAAAGTTGCCCAAATTCTTGAATCGTCAAAAACTAAAAGAAAGGCATCACAGTTTAGAATCACAAGGGCAAAGATGAAGGTACTTCTAATTTCCATAGTTCTTTATGTGCTTCAATTCAAAAAAATGTGGATTCACTTATATTTCTCAAGATAGGGATGGTCAATGCGAGAAAGTGTGCGGGATTCAATACTCATATTTGGATCAAATGGCCCCCTGTTCCATTCCTACCAATCTACCATGCCTGAATGGTCTCCCATGTTATAATTACCTTCTCCACAATACCCGCATTAGGAGTTGGTTTTATTTCATTGAAGACTTGCCTGGTGTTTGGAGTGTCTATAAAAGCTTGAAAGAATGTTGGAAGAACTAAAAAAGAAACCTTCCCAAATTCCTGTAGAGAAAAAAAGCAGATATTGGAACATTCTTTAGATAGGATCAAGTCATTAGAACTTGATCTTCATAAAACCAAGAAAGTAAGCTCCTTTTACATCATCAAAAACTTTTCCTTATGATCACTATTACTTTTCTTGACTTGAGCTCCTCATCGATCATTGCACACTACTACTACATGCCATTGTGGTCAAGCAACTTGAGATTTCAGAATTGATGGAAACGCTGCAGCAGTACAAATTCTATGTAAGTTGCTATCTGTTAAGTTTTACATTATTTCAAGCAAGTCTAGATCAAACCTAAATCAAGAATCATGACAATCAAACCCTAAAATTGATCCCTTCAAGTGAAGGAGGCGATTTGCATATAACATGGACTATTTTGGGTCTTCCATACCTAATCACCCATCCATAAAATTGATGTACTTATTACTTATTAGATGAACTTGCCTTCTTATTTAAAGTAGAACCTCTTGGCATGATCTAATCTTTAGCTTTTTAGCCAAATCAAAATAAGTAGTAATTGTTAAAAACTTGTGCTATTAGCTATGTAGCTTGTAGGTGCTAAGTCTGATCTTAAAGAATTTTCTTCTCTTAACTTTAATGCAAATTTTAGGTCCATTAGGCTTAAAACTTTTTTTTTATCAGGTCCGAAAGCCGATATTACAGATCCCATAACATATCTGCATATGCATGTGTTCGATAATCAACTAAAGAAATGAAATGATGTTGCTTTGATGTCATATTGATTTGTTGCAGAAAAAGAGTGGATAATTGATACATTGAAGATCTTGGATTGTTGTAATGTGATTTTGGATGTTCTTTTTTTTTTGATAAATTTGAATAGGGGATTCATTACAACGTTATAGTTTCTTTTGGAAAATTCTTGGCTTTTATGACAAAATATATAAAGTTTTATTGTTTAAGGATTTTGATGTTGTTTTTCTTGATTAATGTTACTATTTTTTTTTATTAACCTGGATATCCAACTTGCTATGCGAACTGACCAATCTCAGGGCAACCAAATGCTTTGCAGATAGCCCAAAGTCACCGCATTTTGACCTCCTTGGCCACAAGAGGATTTTTATTCCTCCTTGGATTTGAATCTGTGACTCCTGCTAATTTTGACCTTTGAAGCCAAGCTCAAACCAATCAGGCACCACCCCTGAGGTTTACTATTTATTTTATAATTATACATATTATATATAGCTGAAATATGGACAAAAATTATATATATATATATATATATATATATAACTTTTAAAGAAGCTTTTCAGACTTTTAAATACAAAAGAAAACGTCATTTTTCTTGTAAGAGAAGCAAGTAAAGTTGGGTTTGTTGCATTCAATAAGTGTATTTTGCTAATATTCTGGTGGCATTCAATAAGTGTCTTTTGCTACTAATCTTGTGTTTCCAATTCTTAACCGGTACTTAACAATGATATTTTACAAATTTTTTGCTTTGATCATTCGCCTGTTGGCTGTTATGAATAAGTTTTAGTATTTTTGCTCGTGACAGAGAAAATATTTGATGATTTTTACCTAATAATACGTTAATTGCTTCTTAAAAATACATGAAACCTATTTAAGTTTATTAAAAAGAGGATACTATATACTACAAAAATAAATAAATACTCAGGTAAATATAAGTACGAGTGATGAGTTGAAAGAAAGCTTATTGAAAGGCTGAGGTGTTCTTGGGACTAAACTCAGAAGAGGTGATTCGAGATTATTGTGTTGTTAAGCCAAGAAAATGCAAATTCCTTGAGATTCCTCATGATTTAGGAAAATTCCTTCAATAATCCTTGTATGGACCCACGTTGATGTATGCTGCTTACCATTTGAGATATTTCTAATGACTTGACCATGGTCTGATGTACGACTTTTTTTTATAGAAAACTGAATTGTCTGATCGAAGTACTTTCTTTCTTGAGGATGAATATTATTGTCTGTTTTTGGTAAATTACAAGGCACATGAAAGTGACATCGTGAATCTCTTAAAACATCTTTTCATTTGCAAACGTAGGAATCTTCATGGCTTGTTTGAAGGTTTCCACTCCAGTTATTTTCGAGAATTTCAGCCTAGAATTTTTGCTTCATCTTCTAAAGTTGCCTAAAAGTCATGAAGATCCCCTTTGTTTATTTATGACTTTGAAGTCTTGTTTGAATCTTCGACGAGGTTTACGGGCTTGAAGATTCATGAGTTGAAGTTGTGGTTAACAAGTGAGTTCCCATTTATATACAGGCTGTAACCAGAAGTTGATAAACAAAAAACTGTAATGGCTTTTCCGAATCGAGGGGTAGTTTTAATTCTGATCTCTTTTCTCACATATCTTGCTGGTCTTGCCATCGCCCAGGGAGGCCATCAGTGCGGAACCAACGGAAACTATACACAGACCAGTGCATACGGAAAGAACCTCGATGTTGCCTTATCTATTCTTAACGAAACAAATGAAAATGGTTTCTTTATGTCGTCTTCACATCATTCAAAAGGCGATGAGCCGAGCAGTGCTTATGCTCTTGCACTATGCAGGGGGGATCTTAATCAGGATACCTGTCTCAAATGTGTTGCCCATGCTATCAATCAGCTAACAAAAGATTGTCTCAAAAAAAAGAAAGCAACAGGATGGTATGATGGTTGCATACTAAGCTACTCTAATAGCTCCTTGGTAGACAATGTTGACGACAACATGGATGTTAAATACTTTGAGCGCCTTGTATATTATGGGAGTAGCCACCATAATATAATCAGCAGGGCTCCATTCTATCAGACAATGAAGAAATTATTCCATCAGTTGCGAAGTCAAGCAACAAGAGGTGGTTCCCATAGAAAATATGCCTCCGGTAATATGAATGTACCAGGTTCTGCGAATACCATTTATGGTATTATGCAATGTAGTCCATTTATATCTCAGCAACAATGTGGTGCGTGTTTATCGAGTGCTACTGCATATCTACGGGTTCGTTTTAATGGAAGTGCTGATGGAAGAGTTTACTACCGATACTCATGTTTCTTAAGATATCAAACATCTCCTTTCTATAACCAATCTTTATCTGTAGTTCCACCTTCAACGCTGTCAACGCCTCAGCTTCGAGGTTCATATTCATTTTCATTGATTTTAATTACCTGTTAGCTTTTAGATTTGATGTCGACACTTATTCTTTTGACATTGTGATCCTTGTAGGAAAAAAAAGAATATCCCATAAAATCATCATCGGACCAGCCATAGCAGCCACAGCAGTAATCTTGACTCTCTCTATCTTTGCTATTCGTCTAAAGGGTATCCGGATCCACAGGGAGAAAGGTCAGCAGTAAACTTGACTCTATCTATCTTTGTTTCGTAATACATGTCTAGATCATGGTCTGTTTTTGGTATTAGGGGAGTTTACGTTCACCCATTGAGACGTCGATTTACATTCTTGGTGCAGGAGAAGAGCTGTTTGCCGTGTCAGACGATGACACTGGAGAGATGATTTACTTTACACTAAGTGTAATGCATGTGGCCACAAACAACTTCTCACATGCAAATAAACTCGGAGAAGGTGGTTTTGGTCCTGTTTATTCGGTAATAACCATAATGTTATCCTGTTTCTTTTCTTCTGTTTGTTGAAATTGAAGGGTAACACATTTGATCACAGGGAGAGCTGTCCGATGGTAAAAAGATAGCAGTGAAAAGGCTTTCCCAGAACTCAAGTCAAGGACTGCAAGAGTTCAAAACAGAAGTAAAACTAATTGTAAAACTGCAGCACAAGAATTTGGTGAGGCTTTTAGGTTGTTGTATCAAAGGAAACGAAAGGCTCCTTGTGTACGAATACATGGCTAACAGTAGTCTCGACACCTACCTCTTTGGTTTGTTTTCCTTCCGACGCTCTCTCTGTTCAACAGCCTGCTATGACACCTTACGTTTATATAATTGTGTGTAATTTTTGTTTCCATGTTATGATGCAAGATTCAAGAAAAGCCAAGGAACTGTACTGGGCTAAGCGTGTGAAGATAGTAAGCGGAATAGCAAAGGGGCTACGATATCTTCACGAGGACTCTCGCCTCAAGATCATACATAGAGACCTAAAAGCTAGCAACGTGCTATTGGACGAGGAGATGAACCCTAAGATATCAGATTTTGGCACTGCTAGAATATTTGGATTGAATCAAATCGAAGCTAATACTGGTAGAGTTGTTGGAACCTAGTAAGAATCCTATATGTTTATGACAAATCTCTTATCCATATATTTAGGCTAATTAACGGTATCTCTATTGTTGTTTGACATTGGCATAGCGGATACATGGCACCGGAGTATGCAATGGAAGGACTATTCTCAATCAAATCCGATGTGTATAGTTTTGGTGTACTGCTGCTTGAAATAATTTCTGGCAAAAGGAACCACAGGTTGCTCCACCATGAGCATGATCAAAACCTTCTCTCCTATGTAGGTCAATTACGTTCGTCTTTGCCTTTGTGTTTATCGTGCCATGTAAAGTACACAATTCATTAACCGACACGTACTTGATATTGGTTTCAAGAAATTCTCGTTTTCAAATTTTGTGTGGATACATTTTCTTTCACTTCTTCATTAAATCAACAAATTTGAATAGCGATATGTACCGTTCAAAGAGTAAGCACATACTACTCGAATCTAATCATCGACCATATCTTGTGAATTAAAGGCACGGATGTTATTGGAAGAAGGCAATGGAGAGCAATTGATAGATGGAAATCTGAAGGATGATTGTCGAGTTAATGAGGCTCTCAAATGGATGGACATTGCTCTACTGTGCATTCAAGAAGACCCTAGAGATCGTCCCACTATGTCATCAGTTACTTTTATGCTTGAAGGTGAACGGACATCCCTTTCGAAGCCTAAACCTTCAATGTCATTTCCTAAAATTATCATCTCTGATCATTCTTCATCAATGTCGAAAAGTGATGAGGTTGGTTATTTTTCATCCGACCAAACCCTACAAGATGAAGGTTACTAGAGAAGAAATAGGAATCTTCTGAAAACAAAAGGAATCAATGATCAGTGTTATGTTAAAACATAAGCTAGTTAACATGGTAGTTAGTTATTTAACAGTTAGTTAATTTCTGTTAGTAGTTGTATGACAGTTATTTAACTGTCATACAAACAATGGTGTCTTTTGGTTTCAAAGGGTTGCAACCCTTGGCCAATCTCTCTATATAATTCATGTATATTGTTTTCTGTAACTATATGAATTTGGATTAATAAGAGCATTGTACAATAAAAGGTTTATTCCAGCATTGTGGTATTAGAGCCATATATGCAGATGGCTTCAATCAATTCTGAACCCTCAACTCCCAAAATTAAATGGGAAAAACTATTTATCACTGAAGCATTCAAATGAAGGTACAATTTGAATCCCAGGAACTATGGGATGTTGTTGATCAAGGGTGTGAATATCCAGATTAATTCAGTGAAATGTTAGAGGAACAAGAGGAAGAAATTTGAAATTTAAGAAAGAGAGACAGGAAAGCCTTATATATAATCTACCAGGCTGTAGATGAAATCATCTTCGAACGTATCACATGCAAAGGAAGCATGGGACATGCTTTACAAGATATACCGAGGTGAAGACAGAGTAAAAATAGTGAAACTACAAACTTTAAGATACGAATTCGATGCACTCAGGATGAAAGACTCAGAAACTGTAGAAGAATTCTACAATCGCACAATTTTGATACTCAATCAATTAAGGTTGAATGGGCAAAATATAGAAGACAGAAGGGTAGTCGAGAAGATCCTTAGAAGCCTTACAAGAATATTCGAATACATAGTAGTAGCAATCGAGGAATCTAAGAACTTAGCCTTCATGTCACTCGAAAATCTACTTGGAATTTTACAATCACATGAATTGAGGATGAGGCAGTTCCATACCTCACCTTTTGAACAAGCTTTCCAATTACATTCATCAGATGGACAAGAAGGGGCAGATCATTTGATAGAAACCAACAGCCTGATAATAAAGAAAGGTTCAAGGGAAGAAACACAACACCAGTCTAATGTCGTTACTCCCAAAAATTTGGCCATATTGCCAAATACTGCAGAAAACGAATTGCAGAGGAAAAAGGATCTACTTTCATGAATGTAGAATCCAACAATGAAGATGATTCAATGTTTATGATACTTAATACCCAAGAAGCATCAACAGATATGGTATATAGACAGTAGATGTAGCAACCATATGACAAACAACAAAGGTCTCTTCACTCAATTGGATGAAACTCAGAAAAAGGAAGTAAGAACTAAAGATGACAAGAGATTGATTGTTTAAGGGATTAGGGAGATTACAGTTGAAACCAAGATAGGACACAAAAAATATCAAACATCTACTTTGTTCCTAATTTAAAACATAGTCTACTCAGTGTGGGACAACTCCTTCAAAAGAGGTATGATCTTCACTTTAGAGACAACACTTGTGAAATAAGAGATCCAAATGGAATTCTACTGGGTAGGGTCAATATGACCACAAATAAGATGTTTCCTCTCAGTTTCAAAGGGGACACCTTATTTTCTTTTAACATGTCCACAAAACAGAATTCACTTCTATGGCATCAAAGGTTTGGACATGTTAACTTTGGGTACTTCAATTTTATGCACAAACACAACTTGGTTTTGGGACTGACTAACATCAACAAATTAGATGAAACTTGTGAAGCCTCCATACTTGGGAAACAGTCAAGAGAACCTTTTCGGTATCCGATCCGGTTCGGTCCATTACTCATCCGTGTTTGTAATCAGGTGAAACGGTGTCACCAATGAGCATAAAAATCAACAAGTTCACAGGAAGAAACAATTTTAGTCTATGGCAGATCAAGATGAGAGCTTTGCTTAAGTCGCAAGGACTATGGACATTGTTATCAAAAGAGAAGAAGAAAGCTAAGGCATCTAAAAAAGAACCTGCAAACGTTAAAGTCGACCACGGTCTTAAATCTTTAGAATGCCTGTCCGATGATGTTATTACCGAGGTAGCAGAATAAGAAACGACATCATGTCTCTGGTTGAAGTAGAGATTTTATATATGAAAAAATCTCTAACTAACAAGTTGTTTCTCAAGCAATGTTTGTTCGGTATTCCTCTGATGGAAGGTACACCTCTAAAAGAAAACCTTGGCAAACTAAATACTATATTACTGGACCTCTGTAATATAGAACTCAAGATAAATGACGAGGATATTGCCCTTATATTGTTGGTTTTATTACCATCATCGTATGACAATTTTGTGCAATCTTTTGTTGCTGGAAAAGTGACGGATGCCGAGTCCACCAAATAATAAGTTCCAACTAACGACTAATTACAACCAAAATTGTAGTAGTGTAAGTCGGGTCGAATCCACAGAGACTCGGTCTAACGTTATACGACTAGCGAATCAAGTACACGGTGAAAACGTAAAAATACTAATAATTACGAGGGGGGGTTTGGATTTGATTAATTACTCTAAAAATGCAATAAAATATAAACTAAAACAATTGATTAAAATCCCAACATCGATTTAATACCGGTTAAGATGTTCGTGCCTATCATCGATTCCAAAAATGTAAACTGAAAGGACAAGCCCGAATTGGCTTTAATCGTTAACAAGCTCTAACGACCCACATTTTCCATAGAAAATCATCGATTAAAACAAGCTCTCTAATCAACCCTTAACCCCAAATACGAGTTTAAATAAGCTCTTAAACTCATAGGTGCGACTAGCTTTACCGGACTAGAAAAAGTTACCAATTCAAAGCCATAAGCTCATAAGCTCGGCTTATCGAGGCTCTAATCGCAAGATTTCAAATATTCAATCCGGAAACCTTATCGAAACCAAATGAATACTATTGTTACTCTATCAAAACTCTAAGACAATTACGTATCTAAGCATTTTGAATAACCATTCCATAAAAGATTTCCAATCAGTTAGCTAAACTAATTAAAAATCCAAATAGGATTAACATTGAGTTCAGAAATCAAGCAAATAAGCTTGTTCAAACATGTTTACAATGACATCTCAAGGCAATAACAAATCAAAACCTAATTAAACCAAATGTTGGAATGAAAAACTTAGCAAAACATAACTAGGTTACTGATTCTAAGGGTTTTAGGATTTACCGTAAGAATCAGTTGATGAGAAAGATTGTCGTCTTCTCCAATCGAACAGCCCCTGCTGTCCGCTTCAGTCTCGCCTCTAGTCTCTTCAATCGAACAGCCGACCATCAGCTGCTGTCTCACTCTCGGTCTCTCTCGAATCAGCCTCCGTCTCTCTCCCTCGCGACTGTCTCTTCAATCCAACAGCTTGCTGTCCGCTTCCTCTCGAACAGCCCTTTTCCAGTGAACAGCCCCTGCTGTCTCTGTCTTCTTCAATCGAACAGCCACCTGCTGTCCACCTCTCGTCTCCGACTCCTTTCAATCGAAAAGCCTCCTGCCGTCCTCTGCACCCTTGCGTCTCTCTCCCTCGCTAACCCCCTTTCTCCAGTGAACCTCTCGCCTTTTATAATGAACCAACCCCCTTGTCTTCGATCACGTTCCTCTCCAATCCGATCGATCGCACCGCACGTCTTCTCCATTTTGAAACCCACGAACTGTTGCCGCTTCCTTCCCTCTCGATCCCACGTCTTGTTACCGTATGCCTCCTCTCCAAACTCTTCTGACCGATCAAAAATGTGGAGAAGATGTGGGCTTTATTTGGGCTTGATGAAGTCCACATAAGTTAGGCCATAAGTTGATTTGGGTTGGCTCTACAAAATAAAACAAGTGTTAAGTAAAGACATTATTCACAAAATGATTAAGATAAGGGCTTCTTAAAATTAATTTTCATCCAAGAAAATATAGCTATCAAAAAGAAACTGTCTCTAGAAGAAGTGAGGTCAGTGATACATTCTAGAAGATTACGCCATAAAGCATCTGGAGAAGCAATAGAAAATCATGTTGCTAGTTTAATGGTCAGCAGTGAAAAGGGCTCCTTGTTTGGAAAGAAGAAAATCAAGAAACAATTCAAACCCAAGGGACCAAAAGAAAACGACATTTGCAATTACTGTAAAGAATCCGACAATTGGAAAATCAACTGTACGAAGAAAAAACATAAAGGTCCAACGGCTGCTGTTGCATAAAGTGGAATAGATAGTGATTTCAAAGAGGATATGCTTCTCATGGCAAACGTAATACCTCACCAAACTGATAAGTGGGTACTGGATTTTGGTTGCTCGCATCACATGTGTCCTAACAATGAATGGTTCGACATATATGAGGAATTCAATGGAGGTAACGTTGTTATGAGCAATGATGCTTCTTGAAAAATCGTAGGTATCGGAAGCATCCGAATTCAGATAGATGATGGAAAAATCAGAACCCTAATGGAAGTTAGACATATCCCATATTGACAAAAAACTTAATATCTCTTGGAGTTTTGGACACAAAGGTTTGTAAGTTTTCAGGTGAAGGTGGAGTCATGAACATAATCAAGGGATCATCAATGATATTGAAAGGAGTCAAATAAAACACCTTGTACATCCTACACGGTACTACATTGATTGCTTCTACTAGTGTAGCTTCTCCATCAGGAACTTCCCAAAATATGACTAAGTTGTGGCATTTGCAACTTGGTCACATGAGTAAAAAGGGGATGCGGATATTATCCAAATGAAACCTTCTGTTAGGCCACAAAGTTACAAACTTTGAGTTCTATGAACATTGTTTTTTCAGAAAGAAGCACTAAAGACATTGATAGAACAAAGAGCACACTTGATTATATCCACTCTGACTGTTGTAGTCCTGCATGCATGAAAACCCCGCTAATATGTTCATGAAGCCAATACCACTTAGCAAGTTTAGTCACTGTTTAGACTTGCTAAATTTTTACAGCTGGAAGAAGCCTTAAGGGGAGCATCTGAGTCCCATAAAGGGACAATCTAGGCCCCTCAACTTGCATAAACAAGCACCTGGGTTCTAAGATGAAGATAGGAACTTTAGGTTTTGTTGTAACTTTTTTGAAGTTGCATCTTTGAAACTGAATAATCTGATGAGTTCTTGTAACTTTTTTGAAGTTGGGAGAATTATGAAGATGGAGAAGGTTAGGAAATATGGGTTCTAAGATAAAGATGGAAAACTTAGGTTCTTTGATGAAGATGGGAAGATCAGTATTCTATTAAATAACTTTTTAATAAAAGTAAAGCATATTTCATCTGGATTTATACAAAAACATTCACATCATTGAAAAATGTTATAAGCCATGTCACATACCACATCAACATGATAATCAATTACCATTTAAATTGGTTACTCGGGTACTTAAAAGTTGAAAATTTACTTCCTAAGTATCAAAATGAAGGGTTTAAAAATAGGTTATCCAAAATAGGAATTTAGACAAAGTAAGTTACATTTTAATACAATTTGCGCTTTATATATATATATGAGTAAACTTCCATTTTTGTTCTTTAATTAAGGTTTACTGAAAAGTTAAAAAGTGGGACCTAATATTTGATAAGTCTAGAAAGCATCCTTGCGATTTTCACTCTATTCTACAAATGGTCCCTCACACTAAATTTGCTCAAAAAATGTCCACTAAATAAGGGGTATCTTTGCCTTTTTTACACATTTATGTAATTTTCTTATAGAAACTAATAAACATATTATATATATATATATATAAATAAGTTTCGATCGATATTTGCGGAGTTGATCATCCCTCTCGAAAACGAGGAGGAAGGGTAGGCAGCAGGTACCACGAGCCCTCTGTCCCACATGCTACAATGGCAATTACTCCCCTCATCCGGCTCTCTGCWGGGGAATCTCCACTCACTGCTTCCCATTAATCCTCTCATACCTACTAATTGATGTACCTGAGATGCATTTCCTCAAAATGAGAAGAATAGCTTAGTCAAAGTAGGCCAAGTCGGTAGCCTTTTTTGCCCAATAGAGTGCTTTCGCCATTGGTGAATTTTCTTATAGAAACTAGTAAACATATATTATATTATATATATATACATAAAATAATATATTATTTAATTTATATATAGATATACATATATAGAGGGAGGCTCAAACGAGAACAATAATTAAATAAAAGAACACGAAAACAACCAAATCACATTCAAAATTACCCTTTGATTTTACATCAACGGTCAATGCAAAGGTGTGTCGGCGACGTGATTTTACATGTATATGTATAGTAGAATTTAACCCATCGTCATTGTGCTCCTAGCCTTCCATCATCAGCCTTCTAGCACTGGTAAGAACCCATCCCCTATGAACTCCACCATCGATACGGGTTTATACCTCTTTTTTTATTGTTGCCAAATATGGGTTTATACCTTCTTCAAGAAATGGGGAAGTGATGAATTGGACAAAAAACCTAGATCGCTAGAGGACAACCTTAGGGCTTTGCTTAGAATGCCCCTCCTTCCTTCTCCTTGGTTTGAAATCTGGGTTTATGCCCTCTAAAAGAAACGGTGTATGCGGAAATACTCGGAACTGGAAACACCCTATCCGTTCGCCTCTAGAAAACACATACACAAAGTTGAGGGTTTCACCGAAGTGGAGAAGAAAGCTTCAAGTGTTTGTCTTATGATGAAATGGAGAAGAAGAATAGTGGGAGGGGCAGATGGAAGTCGGAGATAGAAAGATAAGGGTTTCATCAAAGAAATTTGTAGAAAAAGCAACATGGGTGACAATGGTCTTTTAATCTAGGGACCATTTTGGGTAAATATATTGTAATATAATATACTTTTTAAATTGTTTACAAGAGAATTAGGAAAATGGAAAACATATAAAGATGCCCTTACTTAAGGGACATTTTTTTAATGAATTTAGTTCTAGGGACAATTTTTAGTGGAAATGAAAACCACAAGGATGCTTTATGGACTTATCAGTGGTTATGTCGCACTTGTAAACTTTTCAATAAATCTTATGAACGAAAAGGATTTAGTTTTTTTTTTTGTAACCCTAATAACCCAATTAGAGGCGTGAACTCCTTCACCTCTTCGTTTCTCTGGCAAATGAACCTGCCTACCCTTAGTACTCTTGCAAAACTCCATCACCATTCTCGATGAAATCCTGCCAAACCCCATCACCTCCCAGCTACCCTCTTTAGGAGAACCGCCTCACCACAAATGTGAACAATAGAAAACGATAACTCAGAAAGGCTTTTAGGGATTTCATACTAAAGTTTTGATTTAGGTTATAATTTTTCATCACTTCTTTATCACATACCAAAATTCCATCACATGATGTTACATGACTGACTTAATGGAGCCTAGACTAGTTGTATTAACTCGAGGGACGATTTTAGACTCCGAAACACGAAATAAAGACCAATCGTGTAATTGATGAACTTTAGGGGCAAAAAAAGCGGGCAAAACACTAGGATGAACAATGTAATTCACAATGGTTACTTTTAAGGCTTTGTAAAACATATTAATAAATTAAAGAAAATTGGTAAATGACCAAAATGAACTTCACGAGGAGCAGATGATGCCACTTAACGGATGTTTAGACTAAGACAAAATTGATTTTATAGCACACTTAAAATATTTAAGCGTCCTAATAGAATACTTTATAGGACCAAACCTAAGAGAATCTTATCTAAAAATGTTACAACATGTTTATAAGATGTTTTAGCAAATTTTAGAACGTTTTCTAAAATAAAATATCGTATCAACTTTTTTATACGAGATTATTTAAGTGTCCTATAAAAGATGGGTTTATTGGACACTTTCCAAGAAAATCCTATAAAAGTAGCTAATATGACATTTTAATTTAAAAGCATATTAAAAAGCTTGTTAAAACGCCTAAATGAATTCTATAAACCTATTAGAATGCTTTTAGATAAGACGCTTTACAGTTTGATCCTATAAACTTATACTTTATAAAGTATTCTATATCTAAGCATCCTATAAAACCAGTTTCGTTGTAATAACAACCACCACGAAATGCAAACCATTTATCGTTGTGGTTACTAAAATCAAGTGACAGAAAACCGATATTTTGGTAAAACACATGGAAGATTTTTGTGATTTGCTTTATATCTAATTTTGTGCATTGAATTACAAAAAATAGCAATACACTTTATAATTGTATCTAAAAATACAAAAGTTAGAAGTTAGTTAACAAAAAGTAAGTTACTATTGTACACAAATTTCCCTTTTTTAAGACAACATGACATAAAAAGTGTCGATAATAATTATTCGTTATTAAAATATATGTGCGTACTAGATTATATTAGCCTTAAGCTACACACAATTCCCCCCCCCCCCCCCCCCCCCCTGTCTTTATCTTTGTCCCCATTCAATTTTCTGTTTTCATATTATTCTTACCAACTTCACACCAAAATGACAAAAATACCCTTTGTTTTCCTTCTTAATTAAACTTCTACAATTATGATTCAACCTATTAAGCTCTTTGTCATAAGGGAATGCATCAAAAGTTAAGTAATAACGGGTTAACTTGTTTGTTTACCTTTTAATAGTTCTATTAAGAGGCAATCTCTGAATCGTTAAGAGGTGAATCTTGTTTGACAAAAAAGGTCTGTCTCTTAATGGTTCTAAAACCTTCTAAATGATTTTGTATCATGAATCTCCCTTAACCATTAAGAGCCCTAATTTCATTGTACACAATTACCAAACAATTATATTTCATTTTGTATTATATCATGAGACCCTCTTAATCATTCTGATCACTTAATTATTCTGCATCAAACCATTCAACAATTGTCAAACAACCTCTAAATCATAGAAATACTAGTTTTGATTCTTCTTATATCTTGCTATGTATTTTACGGCATGCTTGAATTTTGGTCCTCACAGATCACATGAATCAGAACTGCCAATCGATCTTTTTTGTTTTTCTTTTAGCTATATATAATTAAGTTTAACTGAACAAAGTCTTATATTTTTTTTAACAATATGTTTTTTTATGTTTCTTATTGTTATTTAACTTGATGTAGAGTAAATAAGTATGTAATTGTGCATCCAATTCATATAGCAAAAAGTTAGATGGAATATGAGATCCCAAATCATATTGAAAACAATGTTGAAATCTTCAAATCCTATAGAGGGTATTTTTGGAAGAAACAAGTTTAAGGAATCATCTTTGAAAGTGAGGACCCTACCCCCATGAGACCCTTGACCCTCTCAAACTGTTCTTTGTTGGTCTTCTCTTTTCAAAATAAAAACATCAAAAACTTCACCAAAGAAACTTAAAACAAACAATGGCAGCAACACCCCACCATTACAATCTGCCTATAGATACACTCATTGTATCTATCTTCATTTTTCTTCCATTTGTACCCCTTACAACCTGTAACTCAATCCATGATCTCCTGAAGAGTAGGGGCTTACCAGCAGGGCTCTTCCCGCAAAACGTTAAGTCATATGATCTTGACCAAAATGACTGTCTACAAGTTTACTTGGAGGAGCCATGTGTGGCCAAGTTTGAGACGAGGGTTTTCTTTGAGAGTGTAGTCAGGGCTAACCTGAGCTATGGTGGACTCATTGGTTTGGAGGGTCTGTCTCAAGAAGAGCTGTTTCTTTGGTTGCCTGTGAAGGGTATTAAAGTCATTGATCCATCATCTGGATTGATCTTGTTTGATATTGGTTTGGCTTTTAAACAGCTCTCTCTTTCTCTTTTCGAAGAACCACCTGTTTGTGTTCCCAAAGGTACTCCACTACTCTCTTCAGTCAATCACACACACACAAGTAGGATCGATGGTCACAAGTATCTTTTTCTTCGTTTTAACTTCGTTATATATATATATATACATATATATATATATATATCATCGACATGAGATCATATGAGAATAAGAGATATGGTAAGAACACGAGAACAAAACATCACCTTAATTGACCTATTTCTATCATTGAAACTTTAACCAAATTCATATATGTGAAATTGATTTTAGGTATGTTAAATGTTTGTGAATGAGGGTGAAAGTGAAAATAAAAAACCAACTCATCCAACGGTTGATAATTATTCACACAATTCTTATTATAACTTTTATTCTTACAAAACCAAATGCTCCATATATATATATATATAGAGAGAGAGAGAGAGAACATGAGAACAACCATTTACACTATGGGTAACACAAGGTCATGTAGGCAACATGGCCGGTAAAAATCGTTTGAATTACATATGACTTTACACGTGATTTTAGTGTAAATTTATATGTAATTCCACTATTTTTTTATTATGTTATTTGGTTGCTATTTAACTTAACTTTATATATAAATATATATATATATATATATATATATATATATATATATATATATATATAATATTGGAGCTATTGATTGGAATCTTTCACTGGGTTTCCTTTTAAATGGTTAATAGGTTTGTTTTTATTTTGAAGAGTTGATATCCACTTTCACCTTTTACTTTTATCCACTCATAGAGGAGCATTATTGTTGAAGTCGAATTATAGATATTTTAGTTAGAATTCTAAAAGTAAGTGCCGGTTAATTTTCTGTACTCTATTCTTTATATTTTGCATTCTTGTTGATTTTACGGGAAAAAAAAAAAAAACTAGATTTTACTAAACCTGGTGATATGCTTTCAACTATTCTAAACGTAGGATTTGATGGAAAGCTAATCAAACTGTTTGAATTTATCGGGTTCAAATGATGAAAGCAGGTGGATTACTCGATTGTGTATCCAATGTGGGATACATCACCCACTAGAAAACGGTCAACTTTGTTAATTACCTTGATTTTTCATTATTCACCACATACTATATGAATAATTGCAAATACCACGTCTGTTTATCGGATGGATAACGAGAAAATAAAATGAAAACGATTATGTTTCTTTTTTAACAAATTAAACGAACTTTTTCATCTATTACACTGTCAAGTAATTCAACCTGTCACTAAATTTACATTTTGTAACAAAATCACTGTCATATTTGGGATTTTGGTTGGATTTCACTAAAGTTTTTGTTAGGAAACCAAACATGGTGTCAATGTTTCCACTTTTTCTGAAACTGATTTCTTTTTTTTTTTTAATTTTTTGAAATATTACCATTGAGATGCAGATGTCCAATTGGAGGCTTATGGAAGGAAGGAGTTGGGATTTCAAAATCTGCGAAGATGAAAAGAAAAGGAAACCAGAAGGAATGGTGGACCTATTCTTCTTGATTTTTTGATTTGGTTCTCTGTTTTTTATGTTTTCAGTTTTTGTTTTCATTAATTTTCTTCTTGTTGTTTTGATTCCACCAACACTTGGTTGTTGTTTGAGGCTGAGAAAATGGAAACGGAAGATGTTGTTTGAATACAAATAATTCCTTTGGGTTTTAGGTTTAGATTAATGTGTCATTAAGCTACTTCTTCAAGTCATATAGTTGTTCAAGTTCCAGATAAGCTAGTGAAAACTAACTGATATGCTTGATGACGACATAAAATTATTTAAATAACAAGGTTTTTAGTCGTTTATGTAAATTATAAGGGCGTCATTGGAAAAAAGTTAAAAGATTTGTTCATGGAGTTTATTGAAACCTTATATGAAATATCTTTATCAATAAGCTTGTTTATTGCTTATGAAACGATTTTTTTTAGTACGTTCAAAACATAAGATAACTTGTAGTTGTGGAGCAAGGCCAAACAGAACACCCAATGACGACACCTGAACCACCTAGATGCTTAAAGTGCAACCAAATAAATGAATCTAGTTTTACCAAATAGCAATTAGTGCACAAATCAATGATTGATCAAATAACATAGTAACGGTTTGTGTTCCAAACTAGTACGTAATCAACATTTGCAATATGTGGCGAGCGACAAATAAACCAATATAAAGTAAGTATAGAGAAGAGAGAGCACCGAGATTTACATGGAAAACCTAAAACTAGCAAAAAAAAAAAACATGCGCAAAGGTGCTCAAAGGATCCACTGTATATATTATGTTTTTGGTACTAGATTGAAGGAGCATTTTAAAGCCCTGTAAATACATTAAATACTGTCACTGCTGAAAGCCAACTTCAAACACGAGTTCCAAGTCACCTAAGAGCTCGCCAGTTCTTTCAAACCATTACGAATGCGACTTCCAAATTTACTTAGTCAAGTAATCTAACATAAACCAACTTTGTGGCATCACGTCACATCTCACGTCCAAACTCGTGATCAGTGTATCGACTTATCCCATGTTCACGCCACTTCCCTTAACAACTTTAACAAGTCGCCTATGAATCATTCACCTTGTATGGGAATAAGGCATTCATCAAATCTCTACCTTGACTTAAACTATAAATAATCTCCACGAGAAAGATGGTCCATGAATTGGGTTTAGCACATCTTAATGGTCAAGATGGGCCTTGGGCCTCGGGTAGATGGAAGTCGCATGTTCCAAGCAATTCATTGTGAGGAAATTCTTAAGCTTCAAGATGAACGATACAAAATCGGTCATGAAGCAAGTAGAAGAACTACAAGTCTTGGTCCATGAATTGGAAGTTTAAGGAATAGGTATAAGATCAAATTTCTTTGTTGGTTCCATTATTGACAAATAACCTCCATTTTGGAAGAATTTTAAACTATATCTTAAACATTCAACCGAGGATATGAGTTTTGGGCAACTGATACTCAAGCTTCGGGTCGAGGAGGATAACTATTTAACGATGCAAACATGATTACCGGTAAGACAAAATTTCAAAAGGGAACAGGGAAAGTTGTGGGTGTCAAGCATCATTCCAGTGCTTTAAATCCTTCATCCACACAAAGAAATCCCTTCAAGAAATGTGTCTCAAGCTGCTAGGTATGCGGAAAACCAGGCCATCAAGCAAAGGATTCCCGCCATAGGAGGGATCACGGTGGTGCCGAAAGAGGAAGCCCTAATGGAGAAGGTGTTGATGTAAACCCACACCAAGCAGTGTTGTCCATTCTCCAAATCAATTCATTGGTGTAATTAAGTCTTTGATGGTCACCAAGGTGACCGATTGGTGGGTTGATACTGGTGCCACGAAGCACATTTGGAAAAGGCTACCTAGATGAGGGGCTCTTTAAGCTAAGTGTTGTACCAAACAATGACAATGTAAATATTGTAAATAGCAATAAAACTGCAGACTTAAGATTTGATTTCGTGTTCATGTTTGACTCTTCTTTATGACATTCTCCTCTAGGACATGTAAACTTCCAATCCTTACAAAGGATGATGAAACTTCGATTATTACCTAAGTGTTCAATGGAAATTAAGACTAAATGTGAAGTGTGTATTGGATCTAAGTACACAAGCCATCGTCATAAATCTGTAGAAAAATACAACCAAGTGCTTGGATTAATCCACAACGATTTATGTGACTACAAAGCCACAGCCACACATGGAAGAAAGAATTATTTTGTATCATTCATAGAAGATTAGATTAAATTTTGATATGTGTGCAAATCACCTTCATCCGTCGATTTCATTAAAAATATTCATGAAATTATTTAATCTTGTGACATTGTTTCATATAATACTTTTTTTTGATGAAGTTGTTTCATATATGGTTATGAAATTATTTCATATAATACTATAATTAAATTTTAATGAAACTGTTTCATGTATTTCTCTAAAATTAAAATAATGAAGATGATAATATCCATGATTAACACCCTCCACAATTAAAATGATTAATCAACCTCTCATAATTACAAAAAAAATGAACAAAATRAAAAATTATGATTGGTTGAATGAGATTTGTACGGTTTGTACAAATTGGGTGGTTTGCATTTGATCGCTCATCTCTCTCTCTCTCTCCATATATATATATATATATATATATATATATATATATATAGAGAGAGAGAGAGAGAGAGGGGAGCGATCAAATGCAAACCACTCAATTTGTACAAACTGCAAACAATTTTCATCCATCGATTTCATTGTTTGATCTTATGAAAAATTTTCATTAAATTGTTTAATCTTGTGAAGTTGTTTCATATAATACTTTTTTTTGATGAAGTTGTTTCATATATGGTTATGAAATTGTTTCATATAATACTTAATGAAATTTAATTGAAACTGTTTCATGTATATTTCTCTAAAATTAAAATAATGAAGATGATAATATCTATGATTAACACACTCCTCAATAAAAATGATTAATAAATCTCTCATAATTACAAAAAAAATGAACAAAATGAAAAATTATGATTGGTTGAATGAGGCTTGTACGGTTTGTACAAATAACGTGGTTTGCAAAGTAAACCTCCTATATATATAGGGTTGGGGTCACATGAGACCAAAGGTTTTTCGTGAGACTCGTAAGACCAATTTATGTTCATTGATCAACTTTATAAGCTAATGAACTAATGATCTAAAGTTGCACGGTGGCAATTTTGTGATTATTGACAAGTCTCGTGACAATATTGTGATTATGAATGTTGAGATTATAGATCTAATCCAAGAGTTGATAATTGGTCTTACGGGTCTCACGAAAAACCTTTGGTTTCACATTATTCCAAGTCTATATATATATATATATATATATATACATATATATATATATATAGAGAGAGAGAGAGAGAGAGAGAGAAAGATGAGGGATCAATTGCAAACCACCCTCATTTGTGAAAACCTTACAAACCAATCTCATTCATCCATTTTCTTCATTAATGGTCAATATTAAATGAGTAAATATTAGGAAATAAAAAAGTAAAAGTTCAATTTTTAATTAAAAAAAGGGTAAATTTGTCAAATCCCCAACAATGAATTAGGTATATCCTAATAACTACTGTTAATTATGGGAATATATTAATGGAAACATTTCTTATGGAATGAGGTAAATCTTTTTTCTTAATATAATTTTTTTACCATTAATATTTTTTATTATTTTATTAAATTATACTTATTAAAGTATGAATTGTAAAAGCAACAGAATATGAAATCTGTGTTCATTTCATTGAAAATATATATGTATTTTGAGTAATGAAACGAATGTCATGTTCAATAGTGACCATGAACACAATTTCACTGATAAATTTAATTTATTAATATTTCAGAACGTTTTATGCATGAAAAACGTTCATTAAATTAAAAAATATTCAGTTTTCAAAATGTTTTATTAAATTTTTAAAAATGTTTCATTCTTTATATGTTTTATCGTTTATTAGGATTTCTCTTGTTTTAAAATTATTTTGATTAGAAATTATTAATAGTCCAATATTAATTCAATAACCGTTAATGAAACAGTTTGCAATTATCGTTCAACACTACATGACATTCGGTCCGTCTTTCATTGTAGGTGACAAAGAGTCATGTGAGTTCGTTCTATAAAGGATGAAACAGTTTCATTTTTTGTACCTACAATGAATTAGGTATATCCTAATAAATTATGAAACATAAAACATATTATAATCAACAAAAAATAATGAAACATTTTGAATACTAAAACAAAGATTTTGTTTCATTGAATCAAGAAATGAAACTGTTTCATTATTTTTTGTTTCAATACTAAGTTAATAACCGTTAATGAAACTATTTCATTAAATCAAGAAATAAAATTGTTTCAAGAAATGAAACGAACACAGATTTCATATTCTACTGCTTTTACAATTCATATTTTAATAAGTATAATTTAATAAAGTAATAAAAAAATTAATGGTAAAAAAATTATATTAAGAAAAAAGATTTACCTCCTTCCATATGAAACGTTTCCATTAATACATTTCCATAATTAACATTAGTTATTACCTTTCAATATTAATCAATATACAATCAAATGACCATTATACCCTTATTTATTAAAATCAAATAAAAAAACGAAATTTTCCTATTGGTCGAAAGTGGTTTGCATAATTTTCATGAATTGAGCGGTTTGCAACGTAACCCGCCTCTCTCTCTCTAAGTATATATATATATATATATATATATATATATAT